TTTGATGGTCTTGATGTTCTTGGTATATGCACGCATAGATGTGGCTTCGCTGTAATATGTTTTTGCATAATTTAGTACGGGAAAATACATAACCCAGACTGGAACTCACCAGGCTTACCGGTGCAATCATGCGTTTTTGCATTAAACTCGCAAATCGCTAATAGCAGAAATGATTCCTGCACTGCAGTTTAACACTTGTTTAACACTTATTGGCCGTGCTTTGGCCCTTTTCGGCATGCAGGAGGAAAGCTGTCGGTTGGGGTGAAGGTAGTGCATTGTAGACCACACGGGCCTTCCAGGTACATGGTTATCAGTTTTTTGCATGAAGATCGGTCGTTTTTTCGGTAAATGCTCGCTTTTTGAAAAAATGAAAAATGCAAATTTTCAGTTCACTAAAAAGTGGAAGTATTGCTCGAGCGGTCATTTGTCAAAAAATTCAAGTATGCAAATGAACTGAATGTTCATTTACATATTTGGATGAGAACGATCGTTCGCTGCAAAACACACTCGTTTCTGATTTTTCGGTAAAGTTGAGTATTTTTCATGCCCACCTGCAGAAAATTTCACCTCCAAGTAGATATAAGACCGCATTTGAAAGTAAAATATTCCAGCGAATTTTCAGCCTCGCACCTTAACCGGTAAGTGAAATATCCACTTCGCTACAAACATCTTTGAAGTGCCCTAAGTTGTGGCGCAAGTGCAAATCGGTACTCATTTTAGATATGCAGTCTTCTATATGGACGTCAAACATGCTGACAAAATTTCAGCCACTGTTTTCCAGCAATTTTTCGAGCTAGCACAGTACTAAGTTGCAAACTTTAACGTGGTCGCACGCGCTTCACAAGCGTACATGACAGCTGAATTTGAAATCTTTAGCTCTCACGTGTACAGAGAATACCTTTGCAGAGTTTCAGCTTTGTGTCTTGCCTAGTTCACGAAATCGTTTCCCGCCAAAGGAGTCTGCATATTTTTTGGAGGGCCTGTACGCGGGGCCTAGGCGCATTTGGGGAAAGATCTTAAAACGGGAAGATGATACACGGGGTAGAAACATATAGCCAAAATTTCAACTTCTCAGCTTTCCTGGCTGCTGAGATGAAAGTGGTTGACAAAATGCATTTGCTTCCACACACACACACACACACACACACACACACACACACACACACACGCACACACACGCACGCAC